TGGCGGACACCAATGTTACAATTGTAAAATTCAGATGAAAGACCATTCATAGTCACAAGAGACTTGACTCCATTATACATATTTTTTATAAAAGTAAAACATTTTCCGGTAATGCCATTATTCAACAGTTTGTACCAAAGCCCATTTCTCCACACTGTGTCGAATGCCTGTTTGAAGTCAATAAAAGCACAAAAAAGTTTCTTTTTGAGAGACATCACCATGTTTGTAAGAAAATTTAAACTAAGTATATTATCCAAGGTAGAATAACCTTTCCGAAAGCCAGTTTGGCTTTCGCTTATAAGATTTAAGCTCTCTACATAACATTCCAAGCGTTTACATAAAATGGAGGTAAAAAGCTTACCAAGGCAACTTAAAAGTGTTATTGGACGATAATTTTCTGGATTTGTTGGGTCACCTTTATTTTTAAAAATCGGTTTGACAATACCCGTGAGCCATTCGTCTGGAATTATTCCACTATCAAAAATCAAGTTAAACATTTTTTTATATACAGGCAAAAAAGTAGCTATTGTTGATGAAATATGTTCGTTTAACAACTGGTCATAGCCTGCGGCCTTATTATTTTTCAATTTTTTAACTGCATATAAAATTTCTTAATCACTAATCTCAAAATTCAAAAAATCATCACATACACGGCTATATCTGAAAAACTTAGAGTATCAACATCTTCTGTGTCATTGTCATGACCTTCATTGATGCCCTTCAGAAAATCAAACATAGCATTAATATCTACAGCACATTTATTTAACGCATTAGGACCATTTAAAATTTTCCAGTATTCTTAGTATTTGTTGATCGTAATGATTTCAAGTTTTTTGTTATGCCTTTCCTATAATCTTTTATACATAAAATACAATAATCTTTTTATAGTTTTTGCTTTCTAATTGAAGATTAGCTTTATTTTCTAAACAAGGATTTTTACTATTTAATCGCTTTGCCAAATGATATTTCTTTTATCGCCGTTTTACACTCTTTATTGAACCAGGGTTTATTGCGTTTGTTTTCACAATTATCTTTCTTAAAATTACGACTAACCCCAAATGTTGATTTAGCTGTGTTTAAAAATATACCACATAACTTATTAGTAACATCGTTTAAAGTGTCTTTACTAATGTTACTTGTTTCTGTACTACTAGTCAAATACATCTAACTCATTCTCTATGTCCTTGACCTTAGATATATCCACATTCTCTGGGAAATGTTTTGCTTGGTCTTGTGACCACAGTTTTACACGTGACTGATTTTCAACAATATCTTCACACCTGTGTTCTGTGGAAAGCGCTGGTAAAATAGAAAATGAAACTGGATTGTGCACGTCCGAATACAAGTTAACAGAAGTCAGAGATATCAAAATCTTTAATAAATTTAAGAATATAGTGCTGTGGCAACCACATAATCCACTGTGCTACTACCCTTACAAAGTTAAACCTCCCACGTATTTATCACTGCCAGCACGGCCATTTACAATATAAATGTCATTGTTTTTACAAAAATCATTTTGTATCCAAAGTTATTAACATGGACATCTTGTACTACCCTACGGAGAGGAATCTTCAAAGTTATCAAAAATAATGGTTCTAGTCTCTATGGCTGTCTTAAAAAATTCCTCACATTTTTGTAATTGTAACTGAAAATCATCAGCTTCAAACCAGTCATTCAAATTGCCAACTCTTGAGTTAAAATCACCCATTAAACACGTATATTTGCTATCTTTAGATATAGAAATAAGTTCACTCTCTCTTAATGTCTAAAAAACAATCTGTAGAAGCATATTTACTGCCTTCCGGGGCCAGGTACACGACACCAAATATTACATCTTCATCAGTATTAAAAATACATTTGCTTATCTTAAATCAAAGAACATATTTACAAGTAGTGTTCAATATTTTCACAGATTTAACCAAAATTGAGACAGCTAAAATAATTCCCTCCTACCGAAGTTTTCTACAATTTTTGTTGATTTTTATAAATAATGTAAAACCTGGAAAATCCCAATTAAATCAGTGTTATCAGTTTTTGTTTCAGTAAAGCCGATAATATCAAAATTGGAGATGTGATCTAAAAATTCACTGTAATTGAGTTTATTTTTGATTCCACAAACATTTAAACTTAGAAGTTTGATAGAGTTGTTTGCTGACTTCTGACCCTCCGCGCTCGCCTATTTCGTCGGTGTCGAAGATTTCCTAAAGCGTTTGTTTCCTCGTGGGGGTGGTGTAGGATTGTCATTATTGGCAGGCTCGCGGCGCGCTCCGGACGTCCACGGTGTGTTCCTGGAACTCTGGGACATCCTTTGAGTGGGGTAGTTCAGGGAGTTGACGTGTTCCTCTGTATCACTTGGTTCATACATCTCACCATCAATGTACAATTTGTCCACAACAAGTTTCACACGTTTATTGTTTTTCATCGCCTTGCGCATAACTGGATACAACTTGCGCCGTTTCTCCTCTACCTCCGGTGGAAATTGTTCATTCACCCAAATGTTAGATCCCTTAAGTTTGAGAGGGGCACGTTTGCGAACAAATTCACGATCTTTATAAAAGCTAAACTTTGCCACAATGTTCCTTGGCTTGGTTCTGTACTCATCGGGTTTTCCTAAACGATGCACTCTCTCTAAGGGAATTTCATCATGGATTTTTAGCTTGGTTTTCAGGAAATCTCGCAGAACTTCTTCACAGTTTTCATCTCTGTTTTCAGGTATGCCGGTGAATACTAAATTATCCCTCATTGACCTGCTTTTTAGATCGATCACTGATTTATGTAATTCACGCTGACCGTTGGTTAAGTCTGTAATATCATCAGATAATTTCTTGTCTAAATTGGCTGTATCAATTCGAATAGCTTTCAGGTCTTGATCTGCAAGTGATTTAACATTCTCAAACATATCACTCATAGACTGAGCACTTGCTTCAATGGACGACACGGTCTGTTTCACATTCTTGACCTCACTCTCAAATCTGTTTACCCTATCATTTAGTGTAGATATGGAGTCGGTTATTGACTGGAAATGTGTCATTTTATTTTCAATCTCACACAGCCTTTTGTCAAGTGTTGTGTTATTGCTCTCAATGACTGCAAGTCTTGAATTTATTTGCAAAAGAAGTTCATGTAGTGTCCCAAGGGAAATTTCTTTTTGTACCTTTTGAGATTCGTCATTACTATAAGCTGGGTACATAACAGAATGACTTTGAGATAGAATATTTGCCGTATCTGCCATCGATGTTTCAGACATGATTTCATATGCAAAGTTTTTCTATCTGATCAGTTACTTTATAGACCCTGTACACTCTGTAGTTCCTTGTGGACATGCACATTCAAGAATGATCACTGAACACTATTCAGTGATTCTAGTGTTTATGAAACACACAGCCCATATCAAAACTCACCTAGCGAATCCAAATATTCCAGTTAATCTCTTTTTATATTTCTAAAGAACTCGTACCCGTAGATTTTCAGCCTCAAGGACCACTAAAGACACATTTACACACAGAATTCACAGATTTTTCGAGAGCAGATTTAAAACACCGCCATACTGGTCGAGTCACGTGATCTCCATCCCATTAACAAATTCATCAATTTTAATTGCTCAATACTCCTTCCAAACTGTTTCAGTGTTATATAAATACAGTATTGTTCACGGGCTAATATCGCATTTAAATATATTCAGTGAATGTCAAGGTAAAGTCAATGTAGAAGTGTTAACATAGAAGGACCAGCTATAATTGCACCATCAGAGTTTTTCAATTCTTTAATTATTTCCCCGCTGCAGACAAGATTTACGAGTGAATTTACTGCCCTATCCATCTAAATAAGCTCTTCGAATGAAAGCTTTTGTTCAATGCGATTATCTTATCCAAAACATCAAATTAATGTATTTAAAGAAAGTGGGCGCATTAGATGGGCAGTCGGCAGGAATTATTGACACGTTTAAATGTCCAAGAACCAAGTAGTTTTAATACATATCTTATACAATGAACCTAGAAACTTCATGGGAATGGATTTCTGTCTATGTTTGTTTGTAATTTTTTTTTCAATTAAAAGACGCCACGACAGATAAATTATCTATGCTGGATGCATTTAATAGAGTATAATAGAAGTCTAACACTAAATGGTTTTTGTGCTCAGTTTTCAAATGCACTGAAAATAATGAATGTAACAGAACGATCGAAGTTGCTAGTTTTTTTTTTTTTTAATATATTCAATAATTTTTTCATCATTTGTAACTTTGTAGTTACAAGTTCTCGATGTTTATTTCTGTCTGGGAACGTTAGCACTATAAATGACAAAATGTGAACGCATTGAAATAAAAAACAATTAATGTAAAATAATTTATAAAACATAATTTTGAAACTTTTTTCAAGGAGTACTTTTTTACTACCAATTAAAGAATTTTAAGCAAAAAAAAAAAAAAAAAAAAAAAAAATAAAATAAAATAAAAATCACTGTATTCGAACCTAAAATGCTGCGTCTATCTTGCTCTAATCCAGCGACAAACCAATGTAGCTACCGCGGGACACTCTCCATAGCTAGTATTTAAATCATTATTTAAAGCCAAAGCCCTATATAATTGGACTTAGTCAATTTCTGCCAGAAAATAAATAGAAAAACTTTAGATTTTGGTATTTCTGGGTCGTCTCTCCATTTTTTAAACAACTGGAATAAATTTAACGGTTAAAAATACACTGATAAAGCATTTAAAATTCATGGGAGAGAAGACCCAGAAACAACAAAATAAATGAAAAACGGTTATAAAAGAGTCAAGTTGTGCATCATTTGACTCGTATGGTTATATTCAGGGGCATATTCAAAAAGAACCAAACATATTTAACTGAAAATTTGCCCATTTTACATTCACCTACGACACAGTCATTGGCTAGGTTTTGAAAAAAATGTATAAATCAATGATAATTTTTTATTCTTTTTATGAGCCACTATTCCTGCCGAATCCTCATTTAAAGCGCCCACTTTCTTAGGGAAATTTATACCTAACCAATATTCAGTAGACACGTTCCCAAAACCACGTTGATATTCCGTCCAATCCCTGGAGAAAGACACAGATCCATCAAGCCGCTTTTGAAAAACCTGCAAAGAACAGAAACATTGATACATAAACATTGTGAATACTTATGTGAAATTATAAAAATTCGTTCTTTTGAAAAATATTAATTTGTTTGTTGTTAAATTCTTAATACTGTTATGCATGTCAGTAATCAAAGAGCACAATTATCTGAGGGACAATCAAACTACCAAAGATGACATATCAAAGTTTAAATACCATTTATAATATTTGTTGCATCAAAATTGTTTTGAAATCTACGAATTACCAAAATTTCTTGAAGGCTTAAGGCTGATATTTCAATTGATGTTGCATATTCGCATATTTCTTAGTACCAAAATAATAGTTAATCTCTTCATGAAATCCATAAATATATATATAAATATATTCGTAATTTCGAGGTTTTGTTTTTTTTTTATTGAAATGCAATTATACTGGTAAAACAATTACTGCAGAGACAAAATAATAATCCTGGAAAATGGAAACAGCAACAAACCGTCCATCCGCCTCCCATGGTATGCATATCACAGAGAACTTCTTTATATATGGAGTTGTTCAACGGATGGATCCTATAGATACCAGATAGTCTTTGTCCTTTGTCCATAATATCAAGGCAGTCCGTAGGATATGCTTTAACAATGATCAGATGTCAAATAATTACTAATGAATATATGGAGATAAAAACAGCATTCCGTGACAATGATCTTGTCAGCAAATACAATATAACATTGAGTCAAATGCTGAATGACGTTTTTTTTCATACGTATTGTTAGTCCAGTATTAATACATTGAACTGAAGACGGATTTTCCGTTTCTGCTCATCATGTTAAGGAGTACTTGGAAGGTGTGACCGGTCGGTAGGGATGTTCACTCTTCTATGGCACCTGATCCCACCTCTTGTTTTTGTGGACCGCGTTCTCTCTGCTCCTGTTGTATATTGTTTTATGGACTTTTGATCTTGAATACTGTTCATTATCTCCTTATGTTTCAATAGCAAGGTGAAAAACAATTACAAAAGTGCACGAGAAGTATGATTAATAATTGACAAATGAATGAGTATTTTTCTTTATCGTTATCCGTGCACTCTTTTAATATTCTAATCTAAGAGGACATTCTCACAACGTTAACACTGAAAATAAGTATGGGGGTTATGCTACCCTTCATTTGGCAAATATAATTGACATTTTTTGGTAAGAAAAAAATATCATTAAACAAATTTGGAATAGTTGAACATCTACATTAGCTGTTTTTAATTACGTTTGATTCTATTTTGTGTGTTAATCGGCTAGGAATAGACGCTGTTTAATATAGAATTGTTGTTTTAGATTTATCTAGTTTTAAAATAGACAAAAAATCAAAAGCATATTAGGTAATCAGAGATTACAGAGCTCATCTCAACGAATGTTGTTTAATTAAGTCAAAGTCACACAATTATCCAACAAAAAGTGTGCATCCAAAAATACAAAATTTATACAATTTTGTTCTGATACTTTGGAATAGACCTATATAAAAACTTCATACTAGTTTTTGTCACAAAAATGTGATTAAAATCCAGCATCTGGAGCAAGTTTGAGATTTTCATCCCTTGATGCATCATTTTGTAAGTTTGGTTTATATAAACCTAATAGTTTCTTGCAAATAGATCTGCATCCATAACCTTTACCTGGTCCATTATCTGGAAAATGTATTTCGAATTCAGCATCCGGAGCAAGTCCATTAGTGTGCATCCTAAGATGCATCATCCGTGTGAGTTTGCACAACATAGGGCCAATAGTTACTTAGAAATGAAACCTTTATAAAAATTTTACCTCTTCACTCATCCAGAAAAAAATTGATGTCAGATTCAGCATCAGAAGCAAGTCTGGTAGTAAGCATCCTTAGATGTATCATCCATGCAAGTTTGGTCATCAAAGAGCTCATAGTTACTTGGAAATGAAACCTGCACCAAAAACTGCAACCTGTTCACTCATCAGGAATATGAAGGTCAGATTCAGCATCCGAAGCAAGTCTGGTAGTATGCATATTAAAATGTATAATCCATGCAAGTTTGGTCATTATAGGGCTCATAGTATCTTGGAAATGAAACCTGCACCGAAAACTTTAACCTGTTCACTCAACCGGAAAATGTAGGTAAGATTCAGATTCTGTCAACATAAGGCTTATGATCACTTGGAAATGAAACTTGCACCACAAACATTAACCTGTTCACTCAACCGGAAAATGTGGGTCAGATTCAGCATCCGAAGCAAGCATGGTAGTGTGCATTCTTAGATTGATTGATTTTATGTTATTTTACGTCCCTCTCAAAAATTTTTCACTCAAATGGAGACGTTGCATCCTTATATGTTTCATCCATGCAAATTTGGTCGACATAGGGCTTAGTTCCTTGGAAATAAGACCCACACCAAAAACTGCATCAAAAATGTTAACCTGCTCCAAAACATTAACCTGGTCATTCCTTTACTGAAATTGCAGCATCTGCAACTTTGACTGGTACAGTGAAACACACTAGAAACATCTTCCACGCATGTCTAATCAATATAGGACATAGAAGTACTAAAAAGAAAACTGCTCCAAAAAAATACCTTAACCGGGGACGCCGATGCCGACACCGACGCCTAAGGTATTACATAAGCCCCCCCAACTTCGTTGAGGTGAGCTAACAAAAAAGTACTGAAACATTTATTTAAGTCTACAGGAAACGCATGTTGATTGATTAATTGATTGATTGTATATTGTTTAACGTCTCTAGAATTTTTCACTCATATGGAGACGCCACCATTTGCCGGTGGAGAGCTGCAAATTTTGTCCTATACTCCACGGTGTAGTACCTAAACGGTTGCTATCAGAAAAAATTGCGCGTTCATCACTGCTATCTGAAAATTGAGCGGTTGCTAGTGGAAAAAAATGGACGAAATTGTAAGTATTTTTCTTCGTTGGCTCAACAAAATGGTCAATAATTCAATTATTAAAGTTTAGATGCTTGGTATTCCACCCTTACGGAACGTTAATTATATTTTGAAACTAACATGTATATTTAGAATTTTAATGAATTAAAGAATTGCTGATATATGAGACGAAAACTGTCGAAAGCGTTGGACACATTTACATGCACGTAAGAAATATTTTAAAATTGCGTCAGATGTTTTAGATATTTGATAAAAAATGAATCGACAGTTCGTTGTGTATTAGTAAATAGTATTGGTTATTTTATATCATTGTCCACTTTGATGGGTTTCTTAAAAGCGTTTTTATAAGGAGGATCTTGTGTTACGGCTACTATTAGACAACAGCACCGGTTACTATTGGAAAAGGTTTAAGTTTTTAAATTTCATGAAATCACATCCTTAATTTACATATGTTATGCAATTATAGTTAAGAAAAAACGATAATACTTTCTTAATGATTAAACTTTGGCAAATCTTTTTTTTATTGGTGTACCCCCCTCCCCCACTTTCAATTTGCTTCCGACGCCTATGGCACATGTGCGCACACACACACAACTGTTAAAGTTTTGTGTTGGTCATTTAATCATGTGACCATTCAATTTATTATATTTCAGGTATGTCATTATGCCTGATTGATTAAATTTACGATTTGGAATTTAAAAAATAATATATAATTATCGATTCACAAACGACGAGATCTTATTTGTCTCAAACATTCACGCAACCCACCTCTATGAATCCAAGCATAAACCTACAAATTAACAACCTCTATATCTGATTTTAAAAAAAATATGAATTGATTAATGAATACAGCTCAAATAAAGTTATAAAGTTTTGCTGTCCAACGTTGATAATTTCTCAAGTACATGTAAAGTGCACAATGTACGTAAGAGTAAAACGTGGACAATAACGTATGTACATAGGAGCTTACATTTATTACGATTTGTATACGTATACATGTATATAGGACGTTCAAATACTGTACATGTGCATCGGGTAAAGCACGTTGAAGGTAAAAAGGGGGGTGTCTGCTCCTCTTCCTCCCTTTTTGTTAAGAGAATTTTTTGATATTTTTTAAAAGAATCTTTGCTGTAGTAGTGTCAAAGACTCCTAGAGTCCAACAATTATTTTAATGAAATATATTAAGTCAATTTACAAGAAAAATGACAGTAAAAAGAAGTGGAAAACATCAATATAAAAACCACGCTTTCTTTCGTGGAGGGGGGGGGGCTTGTCTTTTCTTGCCTATATAATTTAAAGAACTCTTAAAAGCCTAATGGGGAAGGGGGTCGATGTTTTGAATATTGCATGTTAGTCATACAACAAACAAATGCATCACCTAGACTTCGAAAAAGAAATATAAATTAGAAATATTTGACAAAGCTTACACTTAAACTTTTCTAGATATTATACATGTTTAAGTGTACATGTAGGCTACAAAAATCCCCAAAGACTCTAACTTAAGAAAGGTTTTAAAGAAAATTAATGATTGTAAATGATTGTAAAAATATATTATATGCTATTTCAAATTGATTTACGGGTCCTTTCGTAAAGCTTTCTTTTGATTTGTGTAGCAATGCTTTTCGAATATTAGCTCTACTTTTAAAAATACGATACATTCGAGTTACAGACCCCCCCCCCCTCCACAATTTGTTTCAAGCATAACCTTTACTTTCTAAAATGTTTATTGAAAGGTCTGCTGGCTTTCTTCCAAGCATAACATTTACTATATTGAAAATTTTCATTGAAGGCCCCCTTTTTTATTGCAGTATAGTCAAAGAAGGGTAGGCAGTAGCGCGTGAGCATGTCTGCTTTTTAAAAAATAGATTTGAATTTTTCTGCCCCCCCCCCTTTTTCAAAATCGAAGTTACACCCCTGAGTTAAGTTTGTAAAAGTCAACAGCATATATAGACATCTTATTTCACATGCAATTTTAGATATTTTAAAATGTATATTTTAGACATTTGCTGCCATAAGTTTGTTTCACATCTCTGTTAATAAGGAACATTTTCAAATAGCAGCCGCTGCGATGTTTTCAGTTATTAACCGGTGCAATATATGCTGAGACTCTGATAGCAACCGTAACTTTAAAAAATCGTGTTTTGTCCAAAAATCTCTTTTAAAATACACTTGTCAATTTTAAAGAATTATTTCTAACAATTATTATTGATTGACGCATCTTCAAATACCAAAATACCCACAATCTGAATAATAGATGATGTAAAAAAGCATGAAAACTGGGTATTTATAGACTGAAGATTTGGTACAGGCTTCGGAAATTTTACTAATTCTAAATTATTAGAGGGCTATTCTGCAAATTACACATGACAACATCTATAGAAATACCTTACTTGTTCCGTGCACCCGGACTTTTCAGAGACTATCTTGATTTGGGGTCATGATTTGACCGTTTTACAACTTGTTGTAAGAGTTTTAACATATTCATTTCTCGCCAGCAGCCGTAAAATTTTCGAATACAGCATGGAACGCGGTTTTGTTCCGATAGCAGCCGTTTAGGCCTACATGGTGTACTCGGCACTCAGGGCCATTGAGCAGGGAGGGATCTTTTTCGTGCCAGCACCCTACCGCGACACGGGCCTCCGGTTCATACGGTCTCATCCGAGGATGTCTTCACGTCCTGCAGTGGGATTCGAAATGCATTTTGAAAAAAAAATGTTT